GGAGAGAGCAGGAATTTCCTTTCTTCTCCGCCTGGCCGGCGTGTGCCGTCACCTTACACAGGGCAGAGAGACAGTTCGGGTCCGGATTTGCTTCTGTAGCCTTCCCGGGGGCTTTGCAGTTAAGAAGTAGACCTTCTTTGGCCACCCATCCACAGTGTTACCCATGCTCATGCTCCCAAGAGCAGAAAGATGCTTTTGAAGCTTTACCAGCCACTTTTGGCAGAAAATTAAACACGAGTGAACTCTTTGGTCATGGTTAGACCAATTCCAGCACTCAAGCGCATTCTTCGGTGCTTTTTGGGGCCAGCAGGTCGAGGGAGGTGATTCTGTCCCTCTGCTCTGAGACCTCCCCTGGAGTCTGTGTCCAGCTCTGGAGCCCCCAGCACCAGAAGGACGTGGAGCTGTTGGACTCCAGAGCAGGGCCACAAGGGTGTTCAGAGGGCTGGAGAGGGTTGGGGTTGTTCAGCCTGGAAGAAAAGATGGCTTTGAGGAGACCTTTTTTTGGTGTTGCAGTATCTGAAGGGGGCCTACAAGAAAGTTGAGGGGCTGTCTGACAGTGCTTGTGGTGATAGGACAAGAGATAATGGGTTCAAACTGGAAGAGGGAGATTTAGATTAGATATAAAGAAGTTTTTCACTAGGAGGTTAGTGAGACACTGGAACAGGTTGTCCAGGGAGGTTGTGGGTGCTCCATCACTGGAGGTGTTCAAGGCCAGGTTGGGTGGGGCTTTGAGCAACCTGCTCTAGTGGGAGGTGACCCTGCCCACGGCAGGGGGCTTGGAACTGGGTGGTCCTTATAGTCCTATCATCCTAAAGCAGGGGGCTTGTAACTGGGTGGTCCTTATCAACCTAAACCGTTCTGTGGCTCTATGATTTTGGTGTCACACCAGTTCGGGTGGTTTTGGTGTTTGGTTTTTGTGGCTTTTTTTTTTGTTTTTTTTTGTTTGTTTTACTCTCCAACCATGTGGCAACAGAGATGTGCAAGAGAACAGTAAGAACACTGAAGTGTTTTGTGTCATTTCAAGAGGTAGAAAGGCAGATGAAGCAGAGAATAAAGATGAGGCCTGGCCATAGGGACCTTGTAGTGTCTTTGAGCAATATAGTTTGACGACCTCAGTAGAGAGACTGTGACAACATCTCCTCTTCCTTCACTGCCTGTGGCAATGCCACCCCGGGACCCCCTCTCCCCCAGGCTCTGGGGGAGCCCCAGGTGATGCTCTCACTGCAGGGGGTTGTTGCAGTGGAGGAGCAAACTGAGTGGCATGGGACTAGTAATTGTCTTCTGCTGTGAGGCAGATGTGACACGCTGGGTGAAGCAATAGACAGCCAAAGCCTCGTTGTTGTATTTGTTCCCTCTCCAAACCTGTTCTCCTTTTCTTTGGACGTGGCTGTGATAGCTGTCTCAGCAGCCCCAGGAAACCTCGTGTGTCTTGGACTGAGGGGTTTGCCAGGGAAAATGATGTCTGACGAAAGGCTGCAGTCCCATCACTCAGCATGATGGGGGTGAGCACGGGAGGGGTTTGCTCGCTCTCTGTTTTCTTGGAATGGGGCAGGGACAAAGTGCAGCATCTGTCTGTGCTGCTGCTGTGACAGGGGGTGTGACTTTGTGAGGGTTAGACAGGCAGGGCAAGTGGTAAGGTCTCACAGGATGGAAAACAGTTCTCCCTCATTCAGGAGAGGAAATCTCCTCTTCCTCTTCCTCTCCCCAGGACAGGGAAGTTTATCTTTCCCTCTCTCCTTTTAAGAAATAATCCCTCTTTTGTGTGCCTGGGCTTACTGCTGAGGCATCCCATGAGAAGGGTGACCACACCCTGCTGCTGGTGCCTGGTGTGCTGTCAGCACTCCATCCAGCTCAGCTTTCCTGCCCCAGACAGAGCCCCAGGACCCATCTCCACCCTCCCACCCCCGAGCTGGGGGTGCCCGGCTGACACGCCCGCCCGGCCCCGCTGCCAGGGCTGAAGGTGGCTGTTCAGAGGTGCTGCCTTCTGCCAGAGGGTGGATGTCTGCTCGCCCAGCTCCCTCCAGGTGCCTCCCCAGGGAACGTGTGCCAGGAGAGCGAGCCACTCGTGGAGAAGCCCAGGAAGGGGGTGGAAGGCATGGTGTGATGGTGTGCCTGGCAGCAGCGGCGGCGTGGGAGTTGCCATGGAGAGAAAGAGCAAGGGGAAGGCAGAAACAGTGAGAAACCAAAGCAGGGAGGTTTGGCAGAAGATGCAGAAGGCTCAGAAAGAGGTCAGCATGGGGAGAGAAGGTAAAGCAGGTAAATAAGGAAAAGGACATGCAAAAGAAAAGTTAGACTGCTGAAAACAACGTGATGTAGTTGCAAAGACTTGAGGGATGGCATTCAGCAGCAAACCTGAACGTCCAAGAGCTGCTTGACTCACATGGCACGAGAAGCATGTCATGGTACCCTGGGAACCTGCAGCATCTCCAGAGCCTGCTTGTTGGTGCCTGGGGGCCATGGCATGGACCAGTGGTGGTGCAGCCCACTCTGATGTCTCTGCCTCTGTTACTGGCTGGAGGGTATTGGGTGCACTGTCTAGAGAAGATCTTTGGGTCTGCTTTCATTTCTGAGGAATCCAGGTTGTGTGTAGTGAGGCTGCTCCACAGCACAAGGCAGCCAGTGGTACGTGGGGATGGGGATGTTCTCAAAGGACAGCCCCTGCTGGAGACACACAGACACACTGGTGTAAGCAAGTGCAAAGGAAAGATGTCTCGTGGGCCAGCGTACTGCTCTCTTGGAAGTCATGCCCTGAATGCTCCTTCCACCACAGTTAGTCCCTTTATTCAGGGCTAAGGTTGTGAAGGAGCAGCTGGTGGGCTCCCCTTAGGTCCTAGAGACACAGTTATTCACGTTTGGTTTGGATGTGATGTGTACAAAAAGGCAGGAGAGGGCTTGGTGTAAGGGGCTGAGCTGGGTCTGTCCTGAAACGTACTGAGCTGAAGTGTTGCCATTGATAGGCTAGAAGGAGAAACCTGTTTGGCCATTGTATCTAACTTCCCTAGTCGAGCAGATGCAAAGGTGGGTGTCTTCTTACTTCACCACAGTGCATTTTGTCACCCTGCAATACTGGTGGGCTGATTTCTTGTACAACAGTGAGGGGAGCAGGTTTTCTTGTATTGTCAGTTCCTGCCTGCTGAAATGTGTGTCTCCATTTCATAGGCCTGGCCAAAAAGGAAAATAAAGAAGCCTGACTTGCGCTTGAAGCTTCAGTTTGATTCCTGTAGTCAGTCAGATGTAAACACAAGGTATTTATTTCACCAGGAAGCAGAAATTCTAAGTCACTCATCTGAGCAAATATCACTCGGAGAAGTGGTTCAGGAGTATTAAGTGAGTTTTGGAAGGGAAGATCTTAGGCCCTGTGGAGCCCACACCTACTTGGCTCTGTGTTGTAATTCACTGGTGGAACGCCTTGTGGAAACTCGTTGACACATTGACAGCTTTCCTTATTGGCAGCATCTGATTACTTAATGTGTATTATTACTTATCATGTTTTTCTTTCTTCTTCCCTGTATTCTATCTGGTGAGTAAATGCTTATCAATTAAAGGGAAGTGGGTGGAGCTGGGGCGGGACAGGGGGTAGAAGTTACATTACCATTGAGAGGCTCTGAGGTGTCAGGCCTCAGAGGGCAGCAGCTTTCCCCAGGACACAGCGCGGGCTTTTGGGATGAGTGGTTTCTACTTGTCTGTGTCTCTGGGAGCTTGCTGAGCTCTCTGCCACAGATGGGCATGCCCTCTCAGAGGGGCAGTGGGCTGGCTTTTTGAAGGAGGAAGGATGGAGGAGGGCAGAGAGGGCCCTGGGCCCAGGGAGGGCAGGGTGCTGGCTCTCTGGGTGGCTCTCTTTGTGCTGTTGGTTTTCTTGCCTTCGGTGTTCCGAGTGTCGCTGGGGATTTGTCACCTCTACGTGAAAATGGTGATGAGAATGTTAGAGGTAAGTTGAGAGTTTTGTTTAAAAGTTATATATGTTTATTTCAGGGCATGTTTCGTACAAAAATTAAAATCTGTATGCTTGATAGTGATGCCATGGGAGCCAGCAGGAAGAATTCCCTTCCCTTGGATGTGGTGTTTGCAGCTTTAACTCACGTGGTTGTTCTGGTGAACATTGTCTTTAATGACATCTAGTTACCTGCTGGTTTATAAGCTGCTCCTGGTTTATAGTTGTCCTGGGCTTAAGTAGAGATTTTATGATATGTTGCTTCTAGTCCAAGCTGCTTAGAATACTTTATGCTATGCTCATGACAAGTCCAGTACAAATAAAAAGGTGTATTAACTAATACACCCATGGGAGCTGTTAAGCAGCAAGAACATGTATTTTTAGGTGTTCATAAATGTCAACTTTTTATTTGGATTGTTTTAATTACATGGTATTAATGAGTGCTGTTCTAGGTAAGAATATTGAGTATGTGTGTTTGCTTCTTCTAGTTATAAACCTGAGGGTTTCATCAGTCACAAGTTCTGCTGTATGAGACTTGAGGACTCCATGCAGCCTGTAAAAGTGTAGTTTCTCTACAGATAAACAGGTCTTGACTAAGAACCTGATTCTGCTGATATCAGGAAAAGTTTTCTGGGACTTTTAATAAGTGAGATTTGGATTTAATTTTTTCAGTCTGACTTTTCATATCTGTTAGTGGCCAAAAGTAGGTGCTGTGAGTGCCTGATTCTGAACAGTGAAGCGTTTCCATTTTCCAGTAGAGTAACTTTGTCTTCTTGGTATAAACCTGCTTTTCATTAATATACTTTCTATTTGTGGCAGAAAACTTACTACTAGTATTGTTACTGTTATTTAAGCTGTTAGGGCCATTATTTGTGCAGTAGAACATCTGTAACTGTGTGATTTCACCATCCCCTTACCTTGCCACTTTTGACTTATTTCTGTCTTAGCATTATTCTGTCTCTTCTTTCCTTTTCTTAAAAATACTGGTGAGCAGCTTTGGGCAGGAACTGTCTTAGCTGTGTGAGCACCAGTTAGTGGTTTTGGGGGTGGGGGTGCTGGTGGCCACTGACCATGGGCCAGCGTGTGCCCAGGTGGCCAAGAAGGCCAACGGCCTCCTGGCCTGGGTCAGACAGGGTGTGAGCAGCAGGAGCAGGGAGGGGATGGTGCCCCTGGGCTGGGCACTGGTGAGACCCCACCCTGAGTCCTGTGCCCAGTTTTGGGCACCACAGGATCAGAAGGACATGGAGGGGCTGGAGCGGGGCCAGAGAAGGGCAACGAGGCTGGTGAGAGGGCTGGAAAACTGCCTGAGGAAGCCCAGCTGAGGGACCTGGGGGTGTTCAGAAAAGAGGAGGCTGAGAGGTGACCTGACTGCTCTCTACAACTACCTGGTGGGGGTTGGTCTCTGCTCCCAAGTAACCAGTGATGGGACTATTGGAAATAGGCTTAAGATGTGCCAGGAGAAGTTTTGATTTGATCTGAGGCAGAATTTTTTCCCTGGCAGAGTGGTGAGGGATTGGCCCAGGCTGCCCAGGGAGGTGCTGGAGCCCTCATCTCTTGGAGCTGTTCAAAAGATGTATAAGTGTGGTACTTTGAGACATGGTTCTGTGCTGATGGGAGTGCTGGGTGATGGTTGGACCTGATGATCTTAGAGGTCTCTTCCAACTTCAGTGATTCTATGATTCTATGATAGTGCCCATGACTGCAGACTTTAGGGGTCACTTGTTTTCCAGGTACTGGTGTCACTGGGCAATGACTGCCTGCAGTGGCTATGTGTAATATTGGCTTTTAGAGCTGATATTGTTTTAATCAGCTAGTAGTATGCTGATTAAATTCTTATTGGTACTCTGAGCAAGAGGCTCATGGCACTTGGACTTGATTTCATCAGGCTCTCTGATATCAAACACAAGCCTGAGGAAGTCTTTGGACAGTTTTGCTGTTGCACTTGGCACACATTAAAATAATTTGGTTTTTTATTTTTTTCCTCTGTGCATTTCCCAGCTTTGGAGGACGTTTGACCCACGCAGTGGGTGCTTTATATAGGAGGGCACTTCTCTTTGGAAAAGCATGTTACAAGTTTTTCTTTCCAGGGTTTTTGTAACAGGTTATAAGGATGATAACTCTGTGTTCACAGTGTGGAGCGTTAATTTATCAAAAAAGAAGTAATTCAGTTAATATTTGTGTTCAGGTGCAGCCTTTTCCATCTGGCTCCTCATGGCTGCAGCAGCTAACTCCAGGGTGAGCACAGCTCCATAGGCTGCAGTCCAGGCTGGCCTGTTCTGTTCTTCAGCTGAAAGTTCTTCCCTAAATGTCCTGTGGGGAAAAAAAGGAGTTTCCTGTTTTCATCTTGCAATTCATTTCAGCTCTTTCCTTTGAAGTATCACCCAAATGATTCTCATGATGCCAAAAGAGTAACTCAGAGCTGTCTTGGTGGGAAACTGGAGGGAGAGGGGATGGAGGGAATGTCAGGTCCCCCTTGCTTGTGCTGTGCACCACCTGGTTCTTTGGAAGTAAGGGTGGGGAAAGCTTGTGCATGCAGTGCTGGGCTTCTGGGAGCCCTGGAGCTCACTGGGCAGACTGTGGCTGCACTGCTGCCTGGACACAGCCAGCTTAAAGCAGGCGTACGTGTGCCCCCCATGCAGAAAGCTAACCACCCTGGTAGCCTGGCTCAGTGCTGAGCTGTGTCCAGTGTGACAGGAGCTACCTGAGATCCTGCTGCTGAGGCAATGCCCCAGGCCCATCCCTGGCTCCTGCTGCTCTGTGAGTGGGGACACTGGGGTGCCTGGCCCAGCAGCCACGCTGGAGGTGCTGGCAGGGGGCTCAGTCAGGAGCCAGCACCCCCCTGACTCTGCTGCAGCAGTTGTGGCACTCCAGGGAGCAGCAAACACCTGGCTGGTGTTTCCCCAAACATGCAGCCTTGGGCACTCGCTCTGGGCTCTCCTGCGTGGCTTTTGGGTTAGTCTGTGATGGAGCCCAGCAAAATGAACAGACAATTTCTACCTGATACCCTTTATGTTTGCTTCTGGCAGCTGTAAATGACTACAGGGATTGGGAGGCAGGGGGAAGATGATGTATTTTCCTCCATGTTTTGTCAGTTAGAGAAAAATAAATGTGTAGAGACCGAAATCAAGGACTTGAGGGGGGGAATCTTTTGACTGTAAAAGTTGTGTTTTCAGGGACAGCACTTCTGCAGCCCTTCATGAGCTTGCTGGAGCTCTAGGGGTTTCAGGGTAAGGCTCAGGACTGCAGATCTGTTACTCAGCAAGGAGCAGTGGTGGCATGGGACAAGTCACGTTGGTCTCCTGGCTTCACTGGGGTGTTCTGGCAGTGGGAACAGTGATGGGAACAGAGGGACAAGGTGTAAGCTGTGCACAGAAAGAGTCCTTTCCCTTTGCTGCTGCTTCATCAAGGGATCTAGACACTTCAGTTTGGGAAACAAACCAAAGTTTTTAACAAAAGCAAGATTTGAGATGTGAAAATCTGAGGAGTGATAGGTCCTGTTTGTGTTTTTTTTTTGTTGATTTGGTGGGATTGTTTTTTGTTCTGTGGGGTTTTTTTAGGACATATGGGTAGTATAATAGTAAAAGATCTCCAAGGCAGTGATTTCAGAGCTCTAGAACTGTTAGCCCATAATTACTATTATTACCATTCATTTATCCTTAAAATATTTCTGGAAATGACAAAGATGAGTTTGGTTTGGTTTTTGATAGGGTCACTTTCCCTTATGCTTGTAAACTTCTGTGTGTGGAACAATGTGTTTTCTCCAAGCTTTGTATTTGCTCGTTTGTGATGGGATCTGCTGGAAAAGATGACAGTAGGAAAGTTATGGAAGGCATATTTTTTATCTCTGTGGTGTGGCAGCTACAGAAGAAAGTTCATTTGCTGGGATGAAACCTGCACCCTGCCCTCACGGTCCTGTGGAGAGTCAGAGCTGACACAGCTGCAGCTCCTTTTGCCAGGCATCCTCTGGGGTTTTATGACATCTGAGCTCCTGTAGGAAACAAGAATTGTGTTTCTTGGGGGCTATGTGTAGGACAGACATCAGCCAGCTCATAGCTGTGGGTGTTCTCTGAACTGGGAGCTCATTTCTCCACTGAGGCAGCTGATCTGCTGTTAGTGGGGTAAGGTGTGTTGGATGAAAAGTCCTAAGTGCTCAGTCTTAGCTGGTGATTTTAGCTTGCACTAAAAATCTACTGGCTTTCTTTTTGCAGTTGTGTTGGAAGACTTTATATGGAGAAATGGCCCCAAGACCTTTGCTACACATGAGAATAGAGCCAAGAGAGGGATTGAAACAAGCCAGTGTAATGAGTGATTAGAAAGTTTTTGTGAGAAGATGGGAGAAGAGGTAGTAGAACATGGGAACTTAGAGGCAGAGAGGCAAAAATGAATTATTACACAGTGTGGAAAAATGGGGCACCAAACTGAACTTGAAAAAGGGAGGAAAAGCAACAAGAAGTGAGAGTTTAAAAAACAAACATTCCAGACTGTGTAGCTTTTCATGTCATGTACTGTGAAGAAAGTAATGTAATGAAGCATTAAGCATCCTTATTTGGAATATAATTATAGGAAGCCTCAAATAAATGGCTGTTGAGGTTCATCTGTCAACTCTTCAGTATTCCAGCTGGGATGACCTGCTGGGTGTTTGGATCCTTGAGCCCTTATCACTTGGGAGGGGGGAAGCACAGCACCTGCCTTCTCCTTTGGTCAGTGAACTCAGGAATGCAGTTGCTCCATTTAAACCTAAATTCGGTGTGAGTTGCAACATCTGTGGTTTTGTAAGGTATCCAAAACATCCTTTCATTACTGTATTGCAACAAAGACCAGCGTGACAGCTCTGTCTCAATACTGTGTGAAATAAAGGCAATCCCTGAGCCTTAGTTCAGGTTTGAAAACCAGATGAAGATGCAGATGGCACCGACTGCAGAGGAACACAGGGGCTGCTCCAGACCCACAGCCTGGCTGGGCCTGCAGGCAGCTCAGCTGCTTGACCCAAAGCCCAGGAGCTGGGTGGCTGGCTGACCAGTCACTGCTTGTCTCCAAGCTCAGGAGTCCTCTTTGCACCTATGAAACCCTTGTCCTGTGCCTCTGTGGCCCTGGCTGACTAATTACAGGCTGCCACTTTTCTCCCACTGTTTATCTGTGCTATGAGGCACCAGGTAATTGTCTGGCAGGGCTTTATACTTTACTCGTCAGCTTCATGTATTTTAGTGGGTTTTTTTTGACTTGGCTTGAATGAGTTACCATCTTTCTGTGAGCCAGCTTGGTCAGTGTGCATCACCCTGTCCCTGCCTGGGGTTCAGAAGGCAGCCTCCTGGAGGTGTTCCAGTGTCCTCCAGACAGTGGGAGCAAGCTCAGCTCTGGCAGCACTTGCCAGCTGGCAGGTGCCTGTTCATGTAGGAGAGCTGTGGAGGGCAAGACAAGGGTGGCACAGAGGAGAGCAGAGAGAAGGCCAAGGGCTCTCTGCCCAGCTAGGGGATTTTTGGTTTTACCTCCCTCCTGCCATACAGTTATCCTAAGGGACATGGGGGAAGGGTGAGGACCAGCAGTATGTTACAGAGAGGTTAAGTTTGCCATGTCTGCCTTTATTCTCTTCTGCAGTATTATGGCTCCTGTGATGTATATTCTTTAATTTCTCTGTCTGTGGGCTGCTATTTTCAAGGCATCACCTGGGTCCACACTTCTGGGTGACTCTGTACGTGCTGCAAAAGACTGATAGAGGTGATGTACCAGTTTGCTTTTGCTAGCAAATAACTGGAAGGTATAGACAAGGTGAAGGTCTGGTCTGGTTTATTTGTTTTTTTTTCCATGGTGATACAACAGATGGTTTGCATGGAATATAAAATATCACATCACTGCCCATTCTGCTTTCTCCTTTTCCTTTTTATTTCTCCCCTCTCCTCTTTTCAAGATGGCTGGTAAAATAAAAGTCAACTAAGGGTAACAAAAATATCCTAATTATGCCATGATGAAGAGTCCCTTTCCTGTTATCTGGTAGAGAGCACACAAAACTTCAGGGTGACAGACAGCTCCTTGATGGTGGCACATGCACATGGTGTAATATGGGGAACACTCTTTGAGATCAAGCATTGTGGTGACTTCAATGGCTGTGCATGTTGCTAAGAGGGAAATAAAGTGTTAGCAAGAGTTGATCCTGAAGCAGAAGGATGCATGCTTACCTGTTGTAGGTGGGAAGCCTTCACAGCATGCAAGGACACGAGATGAGTGGTCATTGAGTCCTCAACGGGGAGCAGAGGCTACACACAGAGCCTGTGTCCTCTGGCAGGGCAGATGTCCTGATGTAAATACAAGATCTAGTCCTCAAGAGAGCTCCTATTTCTGTGTCTATAAGTGTATGATGAAAGCATTCCAAACCATGAAAACTTCAAAAATAGGTCATATTGGTACATGTGATTTTTCTAATGGAGGAATTTTGTGCTGCTCTGCACGGGGTAAACTTGATTTAGCTCAAAAAGGTGAAGACAGGGAAGGGTGAAAGCTCATTGCCAAAACTACTCCTTCTAAAATGCTATGGATATAAAATGGTCTCTCCTCCTTCTTCTTTTAACAAAAACTGCATGAATGTCCTAAAGCTGAGGTAATTTATTTTATTCTCTAGGTGATCCTGCTCTGGCAGGGGGGTTGGACTGGATGATCTTTCAAGGCCCCTTCCAACCCCTATGATTCTTTCAAGTCCATTTTAGGTGTATTTTTTCCAGCACTTGTGTAGTGTCAGTGATAGTATTTTTGCATCATTCTGTTCCCAGATGCCAAACAGGGAAGAGAGAGTTCTGAACCCATGGACTCATAGAATCTCTTAGGTGGTCTGGTAATTTGTGGGGATTTTGGGGTTGGCTTGTTTGTTTTAAAACCCAAAGCAAAAGGTGATCAATGGAACAGATGAAACAGGAGGCGTGTGGGGCAGCCTGCAGGAGGACTTTGAAAAGTTAAAATCTAAGACCTAGCTTGGGTAAAAGAGGCTGGGACAGTTCACCTGAGGTTAGTATAGAGTGCCTGGAAGTCTCCAAATGAAACCATCAGCTTCTGTTTCTCTTGTTTTGGGGACAGTGGGCCACCCTGCAGATTGAGGAGGGAGTGAAGAAGCAGAAGGCACTGGCACTTGAAAATTTGATCTCCACTGGTAAGGTCTCTGAATGAAGGTGACATCACACTTTGTCTTGTAAAAGGGCAGATTTTTAAATGTCTTACCTGGAAAAGAGTAAAAGAAACATAAATTGCATCCCATGTTAAGTAAGAAAACTGGAATGGCCAAAACAGAGTTTGACAGGCACATAGCTGTTGAAGTGACCCAGCTACAAAACCCAGATGTTAGCAGCCAGATAATCTGTGAATCATTGAGTCTTCTGAACAAAAGGTGTTAAAGATTATTGTGGCTAGAGAAAGACATTGCTGCTAAGCCTTTGGGAAGCTCTCCCTGGTTTTGTACGTTGTACTTTGTACCTCCATTAGCTCTCTCTTTACAGGGCTAGGAGGAATGAGTATTCTCTGCCCTGGACATTGCTCTCTCTGGATTCTCTCTTGCTGCTTCTAACTCCCAGCATGCCAAAAGCCAGTGTCTCAAGTAGAGGAGCCACACCAGCCCAGAGATCACAGTTACAATCAGCATTTCTTCTCTAGGCATGGAGGAATGTGAGAGGAATGGTTTTGTTTTTCCTCCCAACTATTTTTTGCTTTCTTTATTCACTGAAGGGGACTGGCTGGAGTTCTCCTAATAATCCCTTTACTTCTAGTGCTATTTTTAGTCATTAATCACATAGACTGTGTGGTTTGTCAGCTAAAAACTTTCAGGTCTGATAACTTCCTTTGGGAATTCATCCTGCCTGTTGCACTGGGTGGAAGGAGACTCATTTCCTCATGCAGGGATCATCCAGAGAGAGGAAACCTCCCTAGAAGAGGCGATTGCTGGGCAGCGCCGGGGCCGCTTCAGCCTCGCTGACCTTCTCTACTTCTCCAAGAAGGGCTGTGAGGCCGTGGCAGAGGATGAAGTCACCCGACGGTTCTCCTCTGAGGAGCTGCTGTCCTGGAACCTCCTCAGCAGGACCAGTGCAGACCTGCACCGTGCCAGCTGGCAGCTGAGCCTGGTGTGGGCTGCCGGGGTCCTGCTCCGCTACGGTCTCCTGCTGCCTTTTCGGTGAGCCAGGGGCTGTTGGTCTGGGCTGGATTTTCATAGTGCTTTTTACAAAAGATTTGAAACAAAACACTCTTGCCTAGTGCAGAGAGGAGAACCTGCCAGGCCTTTGCTTCCCAGGATGCCATCGAAACTCAAGTAGCCCCAAAAGAAGAAAAGGTGCTGAGATGTACATCTCTCCATGTTCCATGTGTTTTATCAGGAATTAATTGGGGTTTAAAGTCCAGCAAAATGTCATAGAAATGACCTGGAAATCATTTGTGTTGTGCAAAGTAACAACTGTTCCATGTGAAAGGATCAGGCTCTACCTGCATGAATAAGAGACAGGGAGACTGTGTGCTGAACTCCTGGGATCTGGAGCAGAGCCAGTGTTCTGGGAGCACAGGGCTGGGTGTGAGAAAAGAGACACCCACTGGGAATGTATCACATTCTCAGAGACTCTAAATTCTAAGCAAAACCAGCCTTTTATCATATTGACCAAACTGTTAGAAATATTCACATGTTCTTGTAAAGAGTAGGAGCTTTTAAAACTTCTTATTCCTTTGGTGTGAGGACAGGATATTCAAAGCACAGCTGCAGCATATAGGGGGATTTCACACCAGTCACACAGCAAACCACACAGGCCTGTGTGCAAACAAGGAAGACAAGATTTATGTAGAAATGGCTTCAGCACTGATTTGCTCAGCCATTATTAACCAGTGACATTTAATTTTCATGATTATATAGTGGCTTCCTTCTTGGGGTGGAAATACACATGGAAATTCCTGGAGAGGCTTTTAGAAATGAAATCATGGATCCCTTTTGGCACTGAGAAACTTCACCTGGTGTGTAGAACACTGCTCACTGTCCTCTCTGAAGCATGATGGCTCCTTGACCATGTGGGAGCTTCAAGGGGTGGTTCAGTTCAGACAGCACGAGGTTTGTACTCAGTGCAGGATTAATTCAGTGAAAACGTGCTGCTATCATCCCATTGACCTTAAACTGCTATTTAGATGCAATTAATGGTGGAGGGAAGAGTTAGGAAATGGATCAAAGGGTCCAGTGAAAGATTTTCTTGCTTGCTCTTCCAGTTTTGCTTTTTAGCATTTAATTAAGCTTATTTTACTTTTCAGTGTCTGCTTGGCTGTGTTCAGCATCCTCTTGCTGGTGTTGGCCACTACAGTAGTAGGCCAGTTTCCAAATGGCAGGTGGGTGTTTGCTGAGGGCTCTTTCAATTTCTTTTTTTAATTCTTTAAGGATGTTAATCATTGCACTGGAATATAAATCTGCTTGAGTCTGGAGGAATAATGTGAACTATTGTGGTGATTTTTTTTCTTCTCTACTGTAAACTCACAGAGCACTATGAGAGAGGGTATGGTAGTGACATCTGATAGATACTGATGGAAACATCTTAAGGGGTAAAATAAAGAGTGTGCTCTGCTTGAGTCAGAGCAGGGCAAGTAAATCATCTGTCCTGATAAATTCCATGTTAATACTATGAGATAGTTTTGTCCTGTCAGTGAAAAACAACCCTGAAGCATGATTTACCAGCTAAAGTGGAATTAATGAATGAGTCAACAGCAGTTGCTTCCAGAGAAAATCTATTGAAGCAAATGCCTGACTGTTATTTTTTCTGCTTCAAATCTGGAGGGTTTAGAATAGATCACAGCAGAAGAATGGAACAAGAATGGAACATGTCTTTGATACCTGATAAGCTCCTCCTGCGTGGCACTGTTAGTGCAATGAGTCAACAGCAGTTGCTTCCAGAGAAAATCTGTTAAAGCAAATGCCTGACTGTTATCTTTTCTGCTTCAAATCTGGAGGGTTTAGAATAGATCACAGCAGAAGAATGGAACAAGAATGGAGCATGTCTTTGATACCTGATAAGCTCCTGCGTGGCATTGCTAGTGCAATTGAATCTTCTTAGCATGATCTCTGTAATAGCAGCTATTTGGAACAATGTGGAGAGTGTTACATTGTCCTATGGGTGACTACACAGAGCTGGAAATGTGTGTGTGGCTCCATTTCTTTCAGAGTTAAATGCTGGCTGAGCAACCAGGTTCAGATGATCTGTGCCACGCTAGGGGTCCGATGCCTGAGTGGGCTTGTGCATTTCCACAACAGGTGAGTGCTGCCATCCTGCTGCCATCCTGCTCCTCCTGGGCTGGTGCTGAGCTCCTACAGTACTGCACAGATGCTGTGATGGTGCAGTGTGATCCAAGAAGCTGTTTAGACCCTCTAGACTCTGTCGAGCTGCTTGCCTGCCCTGCTGTGTTCTGAGCTGTGTGCTGGCAGGGGGTGCACAAGAGGAGTCCTGTGCTCCTGACTGAATAGACACTTGTGCATTTTCCTCAGTGTTTGCCATGAACGTGTTACACTCACATGCAGGAACGTTGCTAGACAATGTTAAGCTGTACTCTTAGCTGATTTGTTTGATAAATAATTCTTCACAATCTTTTCTGGAGTAAGTTATGGATATATTTCACTAAGTTTTTGTAATACTTTGCTTGCTTAGTGGTTGTGATTTATGTAATAGAAGCTTCTGAATCTTTTTCTTGTTTGTACTTTAGAAAACAAGCAAAATCCTGCTGTAGTGTCTTTGATTTGAAAATTTAGGGTCTGAGTAATCTTTGATATAAAGCTTCTGAATCTTTTTCTTGTTTGTGCTTTAGAAAACAAGCAAAATGATGCTGTAGTGTCTTTGATTTAAAATTTAGGGTATGAGTAACCTTTGATAGATACCTCCATGAACAGTAATTGTCTACTCCAATGGAGTCTTGTATTCTCAGCCAGAAGGTTTTGGTGAAATACCAAAACTACTGAACTGTCAAGGGACTCTTGAAACTGTGAGGAAAGGTAATTTATCTGCTGTGAGGTCCTGCCAGAAGTTCTGATGTCTATCCTAGCAATGTTAGTATTTTAAAATGTTTTGTGGTGTTCTGCTTTCCGTGGATTCCAGATGAGCTGTGTGCCCAAAATGCTTTTGTCACTGAGAAGTCTCAGTTGTGGATGTGTGCTGATGGATGGGTTACCTGATGGGGCCTGGAGTCTGGAGAATAAACATTAAGTGATTACTTTTATGGTTGTTACTGCAGAGAAAACAGACCACGAGGAGGAGGCATCTGTGTAGCCAACCACACGTCCCCGTTAGATGTTCTAATCCTGGCCAGTGATGGATGCTATTCCTTGGTATGAACAAGAGAGTCAGTACATGTTAGTCATGTTGAGATGTAGTGTTGGGCAAGAGGATGAACATACAGGTAAGAGGATAAATTTATTGGTAGAAAGCGTGTGATTTGGGAGCCTTCAACCTTGCATTCAGGACTGTAAAATAACAGCCACAGGCAGGCGTGTGCACACTTTGGCCAAGAGGACTGGCAGCATTTGTGGATGAGCTTAGAAACTGCCCCATCTGTGTTCAGAATCTTGTCATTGAAGTGTGTGTTTTGCCTAGTAACTAGTCTGTTTGGGGCCTGCAGGTTGGCCAGGTGCACGGAGGGCTCCTGGGGCTCATCCAGAAATCCTGCATGCAGACCACGCAGCACGTGCTGTTCGAGCGCTCGGAGATGAGAGACCGTCACCTGGTGAGGAGGAGGTGAGGCAGGGAGGTGTTTAACCTCCCCTCCAGCTCTGGCAGCTGTGGGGCCCGAGCAGGAGTTCAGGCTGTTCTCACCCTGCATCTCCTGGGGGGCAGCTGTAGGTTGTCATCAGTCTAAGGTTTGGCATCGGCACCCCAGTGAAGGTGCAGAGTGTAGCGATCACCTACTGAACTTGTGATTGTTTGCCCTGTAACCTCTGGGAATTTCCATTGCCCAACTCACCCTGCCTGTGACAGGCAGGAACCTGTTCCACTCCTCATTCAGTTTTGAGGCTGATGTTTAGGGATGTGAAGACAGAAATCTGATTTCTATCAGCACATCTGCTTCCCAGATCATGCCCTGCCCTGGAAGGTTTTTCATCATCTCCAATCATCAAAGCTGGTTATATCTGCTGTGAGTGTAGGATAAAGGGAGGCTGACTGCAGGGAAAAAACCCAAACCACAATGCCACAGAAACCCCAACAACAAAATCCACCAAGGCAGCAGCTAGCTGCTAGAAGCTGGAAGAGCATCCTGGAGAGGTGCAGGAGGTTTGCTTCGTGCCCACCCTGCTCACCAGGCCTGCAGGACTGACTCCTGGCAGAGGGAGCACGCTGGGCTCTGGGGACGAGGACAGGACCTGACTCAGTGTGGCAGCTCTTATCTTCTCAGGTTTTCACAGAGGCTGCTCTTAGTCATTCTGAATCCTCAGGAAACAGGGTGCAATGCAGCTAACACCACGTGTCTGTAACAGTTTGTCCTTTGAAAATGCAGATCATACTCTCTTTTATTTTAATATCTCATGTTTTGGTTTTATTCTTCAGCATGGACTGGAGAGGAGCTGCATGCTCTTGACTCACAGGAGAGACAGGGGTCTCAGAAAACAACAGATTTTGTGTCAGTGATCTGCTTAGTGGTAACACATTTGTTTTTAAGTGATGCAGCAAGTGTAGTACAGCAGTGGCCTATCTCTTAACTAGATGTGGAGGATCACTAGATGCACACAAAACTGGTGTTATGAACCTAGAAGGCATGAAAACCCAAAATACAGAATAGACCTCAGCCAAAAGAAAAGTCTGACCTTTCAGTGTTCATAACTGGAACCTGGCAAAGGTGAATGTGAAGCCATTTTTCAAGCACCACTCTTCTCTGGCTTCATTTTAATGGGGTTAAAATGGTGAAATAAAAGTATGTACAGTCTTGTAGAAATCCTGCTTTTGCAATTAGCACGAGATAACCTCTAAGATAAAGGCCTGAAACTAGCTCACAAACTGGCTGAGGCTAATGACTGGGAAAAGCAGCTGGGCAAGGGATTTTCTCTTTGGTTTTTTTTCTGATGTTTAGATTCTTTGAAACTGAAATACACTGAAATTTGACTTTCTCTCCACAGAATTAGAGAACACATTGCAGATAAGGCCAAATTACCTATTTTAATTTTCCCAGAAGGTAGGAAACAACTCTATTGATTTTATTGCTCTTCTCACTTCTTGTGACTGAGTGCAGTTTATTATTCCCAGCCTTTACAAGTGAGGTGTTTTAGTCTTTAGAATTAATTAGCTCTTGTGAGACATTAAACATCAGATTCTACAATTTTATAACAATTTCATGAAAGTCTGTTTGCTTTAATGTGTGACATAATGGAAGACAGAACAGGCTCTGGGGTTGTGTCAGAACTACAGCTCACTTTCTCCTTTAGCAACTCACAGTCTCTTTAAGACAGTTTAGGATTCACTTGCTGGTACTTTTCTTAGTGGATTAAACTCTTCATCTGTTTTAATTCTGGCCAGGAACCTGCATAAATAACACCTCAGTGATGATGTTTAAGAAGGGCAGCTTTGAGGTAGGAGGGACCATCCATCCAGTAGCAATCAAGGTAATGTGTCTGCACTTTTCCAGCCATGGAAGGATTGTCTGCAGAAACTTCTCATGCCAGAGAAGCTGTTCACATGTAACCCTTAAACAGGGGCTTGCTCCTTGTGAGCAAGGTACTGAATGAGCACCACTGGCAACTGCTGTGCTGTGCCCAGTTCTGCCTGCTCCTTCTGTCCTGGGGCTCTTGGCCCTGTGCTCTGGAGGTAAAGGCACTTTGCTTGGCACTTCCCAGGCTTTCTGAGGAGCTTTAGCCAAGTCATCCTACATCTAGAGGTGTTAGTCACTTTTTCTGGAATTATAATGCTGCTTAATCTTATGGTAATGGTTAAAACTGCTGTGAGCATCTTCAGCATATCTGTAGATGACAAGTGTTTACACTTGGAGTAGGTCTATAAGACAGACCTATCTTATAGCTCTTATCTGCTTGTAAGATGTAAGTTAAGATGTGTTTCAGTGGGTCTGTTGCAGTTTGGGGACCTGCATTGCTTGTAAAGGTTAACTGTTAGAAACTTGTAATATATGTTGAAATATGGAGATTTACCTCGAATTTACCATTGCCTTTAGGAGTTGTGGTGGGATTTGGCCTTGACTTAACACGCTGAACTGTGACTTTGTGGCCAAAAAAGAGCAGCTTCTGTGATTTAAACTAAGATAGCAGGTCATGCACTTTCACTTGCTGCCCTTGTCTTCCAGTATGACCCTCGCTTTGGAGATGCATTCTGGAACAGCACCAAGCACTCCATCATGACCTATGGCTTTCATGTCCTGACCAGCTGGGCTATTGTCTGCAATGTGTGGTACCTGCCACCAATGGTCAAAGAGGTACTTACACTTCTGTGTGTTTTGAAATTTCTCCTCAGAAGCTGGCTGGGAGGAAGGCTGTATTGCTATTCAGTGTGTCTGCATTACATTTGCAAATCTTTATTGACAGCTTCATGGACAAAAGCCAGAAAGCAATGTTATAGTCTTAAAACTAAGTGACCGTGCCTTTGTGTGTGTTAGTGACCCTCCAGCAAACCCACCCTTGCAGAGATCCAGACATCTCCTCTCTGCACCACACTCCCAAAGAGCTCCTTCCCTTGGGCCCAAGCTGCCTCGCTGCTTCAGAGACTAGAAGAGATGTTAAAATGTGTTTTCTCCTGCCCCTCAGCCTAGCACAGGCCTCCCTTTTTTGACTCCAGAAGAGATAGACAGACTCAGGCCCTCACTCCATACCAGGGTGCTCTGCCCTCTCCAGCCTCCCTCTGCCTCCCTCTGCAGGGCTTCCTCCAGCCCTTCTCTGCCAGCTTTGTAGTGTCCAGCCAGCCCCCCATCCTGC